ATGTCTAATTTACTGAAAAGAAGGACTAGGGGTGACATGTTCCAGAGACTGCCACAAAGACGAGGGAGTCAAGCTATTCTCCAAAGCACCTGAGGGCAGGAAACCCTACACCACTTCAGACAAATGGATATCCAACCTCTTCTTAAAAACTTCCAGTGTTGGAGCATTCACAACTTCTGGAGGCAAATTGCTCCACTGATTAATAGTTCTGTCAGGAAATTTCTCCATAGTTCCAAGTTGCTTCTCTCCTTGATTAGTTTCCACCCATTGCTTCTTGTCCTGCCCTCAGGTGCTTTGGAGAATAGCTTGACTCCCTCGTCTTTGTGGCAGTCTCTGGAACATGTCACCCCTAGTCCTTCTTTTCAGTAAATTAGACATACCTGCAGCCATTCACTTAACGATCGTGTCACTAACTTAACAACTGCAGCGATTCACTTAACCACCGCCGCAGGAAAGGTCGCGAAATGGGGCAAAATTCAGGGACCAACTTTCGTCTCGCCTAACAACAGAAATCCGGGGCTCAATTGTAGTGGTAATTCGAGGACTACCTGCATTTAAGGACTGCATATTTAAGAAGGCAGCCTAAACCAGACTGCCATTTGCTGGCGCCCTTTGAAATCATTTTTCTTTTCCACTCCTGCATTCATCTGACACTCAAGTGCATTTTCTTAGTATTACCATCTTTTCACTTCTCCATGTCCTCTTGAGTAAATGTTTTCGGCGTCTGTCAAGCACCTGTTTGACATGTTACTCATCCTTTGGGCAGACAAAGCAGTGAATGCAACGCTTCAGATATGAGGCGGGCACGTCATGGCCTTCTACTGTGACAAAATGGTTGCCTGGGTCCTCAAAGCCCTGGATTATTTTCAGAACGAAGCCGCCTGACTATACAAAATGTGTACAGTACTGTACATGTGTGGGAGGTGAGAATTGCCAGCCAGACGTGAACAGGGAGTGCACGCGGCATATGTTCAATCCATTTCCTTCTCTGTGCTGTAGTTTCTTTCCATCTCGTGACGCTTCTAGATCTGGAAAGGGGGCTCCCTACACCAGAAGGATTTCCTCAAACACTTCGGTACTTTATCGGTGCTTGGCAACAATGATGCTTGGATCCCAGTGCAGCCGCAGTGCAGTATTATTTAGGTTGCAATCCTGCTCACTACACCCATCATCACAGGTGAGTCCACACAGCTATGGGACCAAAACCTAAGTCCATATTAGTGTTTCTCAACCTTAGCCAGAATATGATGCATGGACTTCAACTCCCAGAATTCCCTAGTCAGTGTTCTGGCTGAGCAATTCTGGGAGTGGTAGTCCATGCATCATAATGTGGCTAAGATTTAAAAAAACACAGTGTTCCAGGTGTTTGCAATGTAGAACATCCCGTAAAGCAGCAAACCTGATTAGGGTCATAGCTGGTTTCCATCCTTCTTTTTTAGGTCATCTAGAACCTTAAGATTGGGCCACCAAAACAAAATCAAGTGTTTTAAGTTGATCACATAATCAGCTTACAGGATCAAATTGTGTCCTCTCCATTGGTGATGTAAAAAAAGTGCAAGTCCCCTCCGCTCAAACGAGTGGAGCTTCGCGTGTGAGCACGACTAGAGCTTTCCACACACACTTGCCCACCATTCTCACAAGTGGAGCTTCGCGCGTGCATTCACTTTCCCATTGCTCACGCCTCCCAGTTTGAAAGAGGCTACAGCCTGGTAGTGAGCCCAGCCCAGTGGTTGCCGACCCCTGATTTGTAGTATTGATAGAAAAAAATCTTGCTCTTCAATTTGGATATTAGCTCTGATATTCATCCAACAAGACCAACTATCAAAAACAAAAAAGATATAGCTTGCAGAATCCCCATTACGTTCCCTCTGATGTCCTACACCACGGGTGTCAAACTTGCGTCATCACAGCAGTGACACGTGACGTATCATGACTTTTCCCCTTTGCTAAACCAGGCGGGGGGGGCAGGGCCAGAATGTGATGCATCCATCCCATGGGCCATGAGTTTGACACCCGTCCTAGACAATGCGCGTCCTGAAAAGCAAACAGCCTTGAATGTTGAATAAATACAGTTGTTGCACTCGGAAACCCATCTCCTGTAACCCACTTGCTGGATTGAGGCATACACCCAGAGGTGACATTCAGCAGGTTCTGACCAGTTCTGGAGAACCAGTAGCGGACATTTTGAGGAGTTCAGAGAACCGGTAAATACCACCTCTGACTGGCCCCGCCCCCA